TGTTTAGCCAAGTGAATTTTCCACCCCTGGGTCAGGCTTTTTGTAAACACTTGTGGCCTTGCTCACTGTCTTGCCTGGTAAAATCTCAAGATCCGCTCACCCTGAGGTGCTGCTGAAGCATCAAGGCAGCAGTTGAAGTTCCTCATCCTGACGTGGGGCAGCTCCTGCTTGCTCATGATGGGGCAGATGGTGCAGCCTTTAGTGCAGGGAGTCTGTTCCCATGGCCAGAACTGAGAATTTAACCTCCCTTTATCTCCCTGCAGAGTGACTGCCTCACATCCTTTCTCGGGTTGAAAATTGAAGACCGCTCCCCTAGTCCTCTCTGCAGCCACCAGCCCTGTTGTAGTCCCCGGTGGTCACTGCCTGATGGGCTGAGGGCTAAACCCACTGGGATGGACACTTCTCACTGCAGCATCAACCCCAATCTCACGTTTTTCCCCTTGAAACCCTCTGTGGGAGAAGCCAGATTCTGCTTCCAAGCTGCCTACAGCTGGTGCCACAGGCAGAGTAAATCCTGGGGGCTGCATTAAAGCACCTGGAATTACTGAACCCTTCATGCAGGGGTCTGTTTTCCTTTTCTTCACATCTTAGTTTTTCAGAGAAAGGGAGGGCACAGGGGAGACTGAGGCAGCCTTGGGCTATACCCTGCATGAAAATGTGCTTCATTAAACATGCGTTTGGCCAGCAGGCAATGGCACTCTTTGTTTTTAAGAGCACATGCAGGCTTTTTCTTTGCTAGCAGGAAAAAATTGGCAGGTCTTTTTGAACATGCTGCCACACTCCAGAATAGGATCCTGAACACAGGCTGGAGAGGCAGAAGCTACCTGGATGCTTTTGGAGCTAATGCTTCTGGTGGTGATGATTCAGGCTGTTGTTCTTGAGGACTTATATATAATTTCAGCTACATGAAGGTAGTCACAAAGTGAACTGGGTGGGATGCTATACCTAGTTGCTACTGGTGGAAACAGCACAGCTTAACCATGTTTCCACTAAGCCTGTGCTGCTAATTGGGAGCTGTATGAGTTTAAGGTGGTATCCTGTGTGTGGTGGTGTGGAGAAGGTTCCTACTGTCCATGCTTGTGTTCTGGAGCATGTGCCACCCCACCTGTGTGTTTGTGTGTGTTACAGCTGCACTCTCCCTCTTCACTAAACCAACTCCTTCCACTTTTGTTACATCTTGTCTCCTTGTTCTTATTAAAGTAGATGAATAGGTATTAAAACATGTATTAATCTCTTAGTTGTATCACAGCTTCAGAACTCTGTATATGTAGATGAGTGCCGGCACCAGACAGCCTTTGTACACCTTACTAGTAGAATTAACTAGCTAATAAAGCAATATTCTGGCAGGTAAATGTCATATTCCTGGAAACTGGGACCCTTCTAAAACAAGTATTTCCTGTAGCACGTGTTTTCTGTCCCCTTCCAACAGACAGTTTTTGTATTGTCATCAACTTTGTGGTCCAGGAGTGTCTTCTAGCAAATGTTTTTTTTGCTCTGTATCTTGATTCCGCCCCACCCCCCCCCCTTAACTGATTTTCTTTTGGGGCTGTGTGTGTCTACAGGTTATCAAAGCTGGAGTGGAGACAACCTGTAAATGCCACGGTGTATCTGGATCCTGTACTGTCCGAACGTGCTGGAGGCAGCTCTCTCCATTCCATGAAATAGGGAAGCAGCTGAAGCAAAAGTACGAGACATCGCTCAAAGTGGGCAGCACTACCAACGAAGCCACAGGGGAAGGAGACATCTCCCCACCCAAGAAGTCCATCCCTGGTCATAGTGATCAAATCCCAAGGACTACGGATCTTGTCTACATTGACGATTCCCCAAGCTTCTGTATGATGAGTAGATACTCACCTGGGACTTCGGGAAGGAAATGTTACAAAGACAAGAACTGTGACAGCATCTGCTGCGGGCGAGGGCACAATACGCAGAGCCGGGTGGTCACCCGCCCGTGCCAGTGCCAGGTCCGTTGGTGCTGCTACGTGGAATGCAAGCAATGCACCCAGAGAGAAGAGGTTTACACCTGCAAAGACTGACGCGTCTTCTGCTTGATGGCAACCCTTGGTGACGGGCGATGGCGATCTATGAGAACTACATATGGAGACAAACAGGGTTTGATTGACCTTCTGGGATCTGAAAGCTATGTTGAGACATAAGCACTTTGTAGGGTACAGGTGACCCAGCTGTGTTGCTGTTTTGTTTTTGTTTTTGTTTTGTTTTGTTTTCCTGTAGACTGAATTTTAATGAGGTCCAACCATGTGGAAATAAGTGCCTGTCACACTGGGGTTAGACACCAGCTGACCTTCACCTTAGTCGTCCACGCAGTTTGACGGATCATTCATCCTTGGAACACCTTGATCGTTTCACTAATCCTCCGTGAACTCCTGGGCTAATATATTTATTCTTTTTGGCATAAATAACCTATAGTACTTTATTCCTGAAGCTTACCCAACTGCTTAGAGACCTAGGCAGATACAAAAGAAAGACCTTTCTGCTTTGAATGCGATGGTACAGGAAGCGGTCTTTTATTTCCCCTTCTAAAACTGGAGAGAGGTGTGTAGGGTAAGCAGGAACAGCCCTGATGGTTCCTCTCGTGGAGTTTCTGCACAGCGAGCAAACAAGGCTCTGACAAAGAGACCCACTGGGAGGGTAAGCTTTTAAACGACAGCTCCGTATCCACATGCTTCGATCACCAAATACAGCTCAGAAAATGTTGGGTCCACCATGTTGCAAACAGAAATATATCCAAGAAAGAGGTTGGGAAGACAGTAGAAAACCAGACGTGCCTGTCCTTCGGTCCAATCACATGTTCTTTTTTTAAAACAAATTCTTCAAATGCAGTTTCTTTAGCACTATCGCTGTCTTAATTTTTTTTTTTTTTTTTTAAAAAACCACTAGATACTTTTGGTTTATTTTCACTTTGTGCATGATTTATTTTTCTCTCCTCTTCCCACCTCTTGTTGATCGAATTCACCCTGTGGTAACTGCTTCAGAAATCTGAACTGGAACTTTTTAGTCTTATGCCAGCTGAATTTGGACGTGTGTTTCTGAGTAAGACAAGAGAAAATCCAGTGCATCTTGGAACGCAGCGCTGTCTTGCATTTGTATAGCAGCCGTTTTGGACTGGGTCAGACCTCTGGAGGAGTTGACTTTTCTTTTACTAGGTCATCATTCCATTTACTCTAAACCATGGCAGTGGTACTTGACACAAGCTGTATGTAAACTCTATGACTTTAAGATTTTTTTTTTTTTTTTTGGAACCACTAGATCAAGAACTGTATTTTAAAAATACAACTGCTAAATGGTAACCAACTATTGGATTTGGAACAACCAATTGATGAAGAGACAAACTATCAAGTGGCCACAGAAGCCAGAAGTTGACTGCAGTGGTAGGTGGCTCCGACGCTGTGAAATAGATGACAACCTTCAGCATTTTGTTTTTCCTTTGAAGAGGATACGTACAATCCAGGACCTGAAGTAGCAATATCCTTCAGTCATATAGAAGTGGATTGGAAGCAGCCAGTGAATGCCTCAACGAAGCTTTCTAAGGAAACACTGGAGAGTGGAGGGCATTTTATTTCATTTTTGGCAGCAATTTTTGATTGGTCCAGTAGTAGTGAATTCCACCAATTTTATATAAGATCTGGTTCTTGAAAGAGGAAAGCTGGCTGGAGTTTTTCAAGCACTAGTAGATGTTAGCCAATCACAAAAGAAAGTAGTTTTCAAAGATGGACCATTATTTTTCAAAGCTTTTTTTCTTTTCTTAATTTTTTTTTTAAGTTTTTTTTCCCCCAAATAGTAGCCACTAATATTTAAGCTGTTCATGTGCATCTACTGGGAGGAGAAAAAATTTTTTTTTTTTTTTTTTTTTTCCTTGATAACAAACACCTGCAATCCAGCCTGGCTCATTGGCATCAAATCTTGAGGTGGGGGCATGGGGAGGGACAGGATGTTACTGTTAATAGCGCTATGGTCTTGCAAAGTGAAGCGTACTGTCTCTGTTTTGATGTTTGCTTATTTTCTGTACAATTCTGGAGGTTTGGGTAGTGCTGGAAAAGGAGGAATCCACACCTGAGGTTTGTCCCTTCCAGCACGGCAAAGGCACGGTGGTGCGTTCGACGCAGAAAGTTTGCAGGAAGGTCACGCAGCTTCTGGGAGATGCACCGCTTTGAAAGTCACCCACGAGCAGTTTGTCTAATGGTTTAAAAAATAAACTGACTAGAAACCTATTGTTCAGTGTGTGCATGTGTGTATATATATACACGCATGCTGACACATAAATATATATATAAATATTGAACGAACATTTATTTATTGTAAAGCCCTTCAGAAGGACCTTCTTATGGTTTCAATGTGGTATTATGTTAAATTCTTTTTCTCCCTCTGTCTCTCTCTCTCTCTCACACATATGTGCAAACTCACTGTTACATTTTTGTGTGTGTGCTAGAATAGCTCTTCCCTTCCAAAGTAAGGCCGGATCCAAACCTGCTCGAAACATGAGGATTTTTGGGTCTGAATTACTATTTCCGGCCCCATTCTTTAAAAAAAAAAAAAAAATTGTTTTTAATTAAAGAATGGGCTGCAATTTATGTGCATTATTATTATTATTAATTATTATTATTATTGTTATATTTAAACCATGGGCCTCATTTTCCTTCTTTTCACTGGTGTCTCTGTCTCCATTGACCTCGCTGGAGTAACTCCACATTGCACTGGTGTGAGAGGAGAATGAGTCCCTAGATGCAGAAGAGAGGGCGGT